TTTGTTTATATATTTTTTTTCTCAATCATAAATCTTAATAGTTCATTTAATAATAAAGACCCGTCATTTTTTCTAAATAATTATAAATTACTCAAGTATTAAAATTGTCAAGTCCAGGTCGAGGTTTTAAATCCTCCCTTTTAACTTGGTTGTACGGTTTTATGTGTACACATTTAATAAGAGAGTTATTTTTTTTTTAAGATTTAACTATTATTATATATTTAAACGTTTGGACATTTATCTCGTCAAGATAGTGTCCTTATTACTTGTTACAATTACATTCAATTAAAAGCCAAAATACAGAGTTGCATCTCTGAGGCAAGTAAATTACCTTTTTTTAGATCGATCATTACCATTTTTTCCCATATTTTATTATTTGTAAATTTAGATCATCAAGGATCAGTTGGGTATAACCAGGGCATTTATTTTTTGTATATAATTAAGTTGACTGTACATAATTGGTGGTGGGTATTTTAAGATAAATTTATATTGTATATATTCGGCTAAGGATTAAAGTTTTGGTGAAAATTAAATATTTCAATTCATACCTATATCCGTTTTTTTATTTCAGCACGTAGCTTTACAAGATATCTTGGAAAGTTTATGTAAATACTTTCCTGGCGCCCACTCACATTTTGGAGCAACTTCTATAATCACTTTTATTTATCTTAGTTATATTCCTATAGTTTTTTTATAACCTTGTCATTCATTTTCTTATTCTACGGTCTCTGTAGGGCATGCAAATTGGCCGAATCCTCCTTTGAGTGTCAAGTAGTCACTCTCCGGCAACTTCTGCTAGCCAGCTTTAAAATTATATGCTATCTTTTACTTTACCCCCAACTACTTGTGTTTCATTGCATACACACTTTTGTTATATTCCTACACATTTTTTGTTACAAACCAACCAACGTCTATCGTGTCAAATCGTCACTGTTGCAATTAAATCTGTTTAGCTATACCTGCTATTGATATAAAAGGTTTTAGGTAAACTGGTAAACAATTAATAACCCTAATATACAAACAAAATGAAACACTTTAAGGGGGACGGGTTTTTCCGAAATCTACATGACGCATTTAATGATAGGAGTTTTATACGAAGATGTAACAAATAAATGTTACTTTATTGCGTCAAAGCAATTGGAAAAAACAAAAAAATTGACCGTAACACGTTTTGTTCAAGATGAGTTGTCCCGTTTTTTTCTACCAAAGTATACCATGCAAAGGCTTTATTAATTTTAAGCGACAATGAAAGATATATGGTAAAAGCAGCACAGAACTTAAAGATCTATAGAAATTTAATTCATGTAACATTCTAGCTCATGGGCTTAACCTTTTCGCATAAATAAGATGAAATTTTGCGCATGTTAATGATTTTATAAATAATGTCAACAAAGTTTTTATAAAATCGCCATTACGAGTTCAATTTTACAAAGAACGTGAGTAATAATCCAATACCCACTGTAGCTGTTATGACGAGACGGGGCACCTGGTTAGAAGCAGCATATTCAAGGAATAAAAAGTTTTATTACAGAACTAACAGAATACACCTAGAGAAATGTAAACGCATTGTTCAATTACCTAATATACCTCAAGACTTTAGCATACATAAGCTTATATCTTAAATTTCTTGTTGAGGGATACAAAACTTGAAAAACAAAATTTGCCTCTTTCTGAATTAGTCGATTTGATTATCAGTCATGAAAAGAATCTTTTCGTATGGTTAAAGGAAACGTAGGCATATCTGTAAGAAATAAATTGCAATATGTTTTAAACTTAAACCAAAACTCAGAATTTTCTATTTTGGAAAAAGTTGCGAAAGTTCATCAACATGATCCTGTACCAGATCTTGAGCTAGTGTCTTCCAACATAAACAAGTTTAAAAATGCACCAATAATTTATTTTAATGTTAAAAGTTTTTCGATTTATAAACATTTATACACAGATAGAAAACATATTTTAATTGCAAATTAAAAAAAAAATTATTGTCAATTGTTTTAATAATAACAACACTGGTTTGTGAAATTACCTATATGTATTTCTTAAAATATTGATATGTTTTATATATTAAAATAAATAAATGTCAAAATTGTATTTCAATGTTAAAAAGTTTTAATTAATATAAAAAATACATTTTAAATACTACCAGAAAGTCACTTTTAGATTATTATTATTATATGAATTGGTTTTTCCATGCAAAATTTATTAACAAGACGATAATCATTAACATCTGCATATTTTTACGCATATTTGCTCTGTTTCTGTTTGCATATATTCACATTAAAAGTTAAAAAATAAAACAAAATAAACATTTGTTACTATTGTTGCATCGGTTTTTCACCAATATACATAAGTATACTGAATTTCATAAAATACATATGAGCTCGAATGGCTTTTCACCTATATGACAATTTAATTAAGTTTATTATAATCGATAATCATAGTAATGGGAGATCAGAACGCCAAAGAAGGACAGGCTAAAGTTGGTCAATATGGATTAGATACTAGGAATGAAAGAGGAGATCGTTTACTTCGGTTTTCTCAAATTGAAGATTTAGTTTTAACAAAACAAAATAAAAAATAAGAAACCAAATAGATTATATCGTGGTGTCAACGATACCACAATGTCGTGAAATGTACTAAAACGTACCCTTTATCTGATACTGGTTTTGATCATATTACAGTAGTCTTTATAATAGGAGCTAGGTGAAAGAAAACAAGAAAATCAGCCTTGCCGTCACTAGATTTGGACCATCTACAAACCTACGACACACAGTACAAGAAATAGTACAGGCACACAAAGGAGACATCGAATAGGATTGCTTAAAAACGAGACTAACGAATACAATCTCCCATTATGGCTGGCTTTTATAGATTATGAAAAAGCTTTTGATAGCGAAGAACTGAGGGCAATAGAAGAAGTATTAGTCAACAACCGGATCGACTCCAGGTACAGAATATTAATACATAATGTTTACAAACAAGCTGAAATGATAATGTCGTTGGATAATGGAATCGAAACAAGCAGACACAATATCTCCAAAATTATTTACAGCTGCCCTAGAAGATATCTTCAAGTCAATAGACTGGGAAAATAAGGGAATCCGTATTAACGGAAGATACTTGAACCATCTTAGATACGCAGATGATGTAGTACCAATAGCAGACACGTGGAATGCACTGAATATGATGATTGAGGAGCTACACACAGACGGAGATAGAACACATATGATGAATATACATATCTGGATCAAATTGTCAAGATAAGCAAAGAAAATCAGACTACCGAAATAAGCAGACGTGTACAAATGGGATGGGCAGCCTTCGGAAGACTCTCATATGTACTTTAAAATAAAAATATACCTCAAAGGCTGCAAACCAAAGTGTTTAAATTCCTGTATCCTACCTGTACTTACATATGGAGCTCAAACCTGAACTTTCACTAAAATAAACATGGAGAAGATCAGAAAAACTCGGGAGTTATGGAACGACAGATGCTGGGTCTCTCACTCAAAGACCATAAAACCAATGAAGACATTCGTAATAGAACAAAAGTAAAAGATGCTGTCGAACAGGCAGCTAAATGGAAATGGGCTGGACATAACGAACGTCTTATTGATGGCCGATGGAATAAAGAAATCGGGAATTGGCGGCCATATGAAGCCAAAAGACCACGAGGAAGACCGCAAATGCGCTGGAGCGACGATATGAAAAGAACTGCAGGACCAATGTGAAAACGTCTTACAAACAACAGAGATCAATGGCGAGAATTAGGAAAGGCCTATATTAGGCAATCCGAATAGAGAAGGGCTCAAAAAAAAAACAGAAAGGAAAGATTATTATAGATTATTATAGAAAAAATTGTAAGATGTGTGAATATACAGGGTTGGGATCAAGTATGAAACCAACTAAATATCTTTGAAACAAAAAAACTCCATTCATGAAACTTTTCATGTACACTTCATCTAATTTATATAACGATGTACGTCATCGGCGTCATAGCCTGTGAAGTCACATGATACCAACACGAAATATTTAGACGGTAGGTGTGTTCTTTTTTAGAATCACTTTACCGAGTACACTGGCATTACAACCACTAGATATATTTTATTATATACACGTAGAAATAATATTTAAAAATTTCTATTAATGTTAACTTAAAGAAATACACAATAATATGTTTCATTTAATTTGTATAAATGCATTATAAAGCATTTTTCTCAAGAACATTTGTTCGGAACACACTGTAACTGTAATCGAACGAAGGTAAAATTTTGGCATAAATTGGTAACACTTACTTGACAGTTGCGGTGTTTGACACTTTTTGTACTTTATTATTTTGAATTTTAAAGTGAATGTCTCTTGATTTATATTTTTAACTATTTAATAAAATCTGTTCTTTTTAGAACAAAATTAGTGTGTTTTATTTTAAAAATATCATTTAAGAATTTAAATAGTCAGTGTAAAGAGATGGCAATACTCTTGCAATCATTATGTGACCTATTTTATTTAAAATGAATTCAGGATTTTTTTATACTTTGGCAACTATGTCAACTTCGATCTCTGACGTAGATCATGACGTAAGTCGTTATCTAAATTAGATGAAGTATATGTATGTATTATAGTTTATTCGTCTTCCGGGTTTGGACCGTGTCATTTGTGAGTGACCATCATCTCAAGTGAGATGAACCCACTTTTGGGTCACTCACAAATGACACGGTCCAAACCCGGAAGACGAATAAACTATAATTCTGACTCTGGCCGTGGAAGCCTACGATTTTATATGTATGTATGTATGTATGTACAATGACACATAACGCATCTGACGCCATATTTTTATTATTACTTTACTTTCAGTTTCTCCGGAAATACCCTCAACTTACTTCATTTAAATGGAACACCCTGTATATTTTTGTAGATTGAAAAGAAGTTGTTATAACAATTCATACATACCAAGTTTGATAGAAAAAAAAATGCAAAACAAGAAATAAATCACTTTACATGGAAATAATAAATTTATTTATAAAGACCAATTAGAATATTCATGTATAAATTAAAAAAAAAAAGTTCCGTTTACATACAGTTTCAAAAATCATGACTCTTCATAACAGGGAAAACAAGCAACCCAAAAAACTATTTTTTGTCAATCTGAAACGTAATGAACACAATAAAGACATCTTAGGAATAATAAACTTACTACATGCTAAAGTATGCTTCGAAGCACTCCCATAAAAAACGAATAATTCTGGGAATCACAAGGTAATAGCAAAATAGAAAACGAAACTTGTGAAGAAATAAAAATAACCAGAGGAATGACAGGGTTGTATCTTGTCACCATTGCTATTTAATGTCTATACTGAAAGCAGAAGACTTACAACGATTGCTTACAAATATAAATCTTGCTTTTAATAATTACTATAAATTATATAGTAAAAATGGCACTCAAATTTAGAATTACTTTGGAACTTTAATAAATCAAACTGGAGATAAAAACAGTTAAATAAAGAGATGAAATTGCCAAGGCCACTTTCATTAGGATAAAAAAATTCTTCTGCAATAGGGGCATAAATATCCCCCTATGATTAGGAATATTCAGGGCCACTGTATTTAACAGCCGGAGTAGAGGCCGGGACTCTTCAACTAAACAACAATAATATTGAAAGCTTCGAATGTGGTGCTACCATTGATACGATAAGTTAGATTAATCTAGTCAAAAATGTGTAACTGCTACATCGTTGTATAGGAAAACTATGAGGTTTATGTTAACTATAAAGAGAAGAAAACTCGAATATTTGGGCTACCTAATGAGAAAAAAAAAAAATAAGGAAATATTAAATATAATGCAGGGAAAACTAGAACGAAAAGAAATCCAGGCCCTAGAAGAATATCATGGTTGTGAAATTTGAGGGACAAGAAGATTAATCTATACTTCTTGGAACAAATCTCATGTTACTATGGTTTTTCTAATGTATGTTTACGTCTGTGCTTAACACATAAGCTATTTGCAATAAATGGTTTATGACAAATATCACATTCAAAAGGCTTCTCTTCAGGGTGTATTCTCATCATGTGCCTCTTAAACTGGCATCTTTCACCAAATTTTTTATGACAAACATTACACTCAGTAAGTTTTTCTCCAGTGTGGGAATATAAATGTTTGCTCAGGTTTCCTTTGTTTGTAAATTTCTTGAAACAAACAACACATTGGAATGGTCTTTCTCCAGTGTGTCTTCTTACTACGTGCCTCTGAAGTCGTGTGTTACATGTAAACTGTTTGGGACAATAATTACACTTTATAAGGTTTTCGCTGGTGTGCAATCTCATATGTTTATTGAAGGGCGTCTTTGACCTAAATTTCTTTGGGCACAAATCACATTTATAGGGTTTTTCTCCAGAATGTGTACGCTCATGGTCTGTTAGAGTGACTTTTGAAGAAAACCTCTTTAAACATATACTGCATTTAAAGCGTTTTATTCGGAAGTGCGTGGGTATATGACGTTTTAAATTGCATTGTAATGAAAACTGTTTGAAACAAATTTTGCATTGGAATGATTTTACTTTTAAAATATTACGAAAATTATCCAATTTAATATGTTGCAAAGACTTTTCTTTTGCATTTACAGGAATATTTTTCATTGGCTGATCAATGTGTGATTTGGCTTTTCCTTTTATATGTGCACGCTTATGTACAATACAATGATTATTTTGAAAAAACAGTTTACAACAAATATCACACTCAAAGGGTTTTTCTCCCGTGTGCCTAAGTAAATGATTTATTAGGGTAACCTTAAACGTGAATTTTATAAAACATATATTACACCTTAATGGTTGTTCTCCAGTGCGTTTTTGTATGTGTTTCTTAAATCTAGCTAAATCTGCATGCCTAAATATATGACGTTTTAGATTGGTTTTCATTGAGAATTGCTTATAGCAAAATCTGCATTGAAAAGGTTTGTGTTTCTCTTTACTATGCACAATCGTACCCTGCTTAGGTTTTTGTTTGAAATGATTATCAACTTTGGTTTGTTGCACATTGTTTTCTTTAACATTCAAAAGTGTACTACTTGTTAATTTATTATTATCTGTGGATATATTTGGACTCTTTTCAATCAATATCGGTTGTAAAGTCTTATCTTCATCATGGAGGACTTCTTGTTGGGTAGACTGATCATTTTTTGTTAAAATAGTCGAGCCAGGGTGCAATTTCATATGTCTGTTTAGGGTGGATTCTCCCTTAAAGTCCTTAAAACAAACATTACACCTGAAGTGTTTGTCTTTTGTATGTGTTTGTCTATGTACAAGACATTGGGAATTTTGGCTGAATCTTTTATGACAAATATCGCACTCAAAAGGTTTTTCTTCAGCATGGGTAAGTGAATGTTTTGTCAAGCTACTTTTGACAGCAAATTTCTTAGGACATACATTACATGCAAACGGCTTTTCACTGGGTAAATTTGTTTTTCTGTTTTTATTTTTAGCAGTAATTTGTTTCTCATCGGTACGCACAGTCATTTTTTGAATTAATTGATTGTTTTCAACAAACTTTTTTGTTGGACCAGTGGCACTTTTACGTTTGAGTGAGTGATGTAGCAAAAAACTGTCTATATCATCTTTCTGTACATCTTCTGAAGGAGGAAAACCTAAAATATAATTAATAATTATTAATAATATTAAAAATTGAATATGAAAATATTTTCTAGGGTTACAAGTATATAAGAAAAGAATATAGACGCATATAGAAGAATTTTTCACTGTTATTTTTGAGGGTCGGCAAAGGTTGATCGCACGTTATGAAAAAGAATGACACATGAATGACAGGTGGATCGAGATTTTCGATTTTGGTACCACTAGGGAGCGGTCATGTCAGCGCTATTATTGCTTTTAAAATATGAAAGGATGGGGCAACAAATGCAACTTTAGGTATTTTTATATGTAGATGCCGCGTGGTCGTAGAATAGGATTAAATTTTTGCGTTTTATAAAATTGTTTAAACAAAAAAATAATATTATTTTAACTTTTAATAAAGGAATCTTTTTAGAAAAAATATGATTCAAATTTTTAATTGAAATATGTACAAATCTACAAATAATATAATTAAAACTCTCTTCTTATAAACTATAAATAAAATTACATACAGAAGTTAAAACACTTAACACTTGTATTTTGGTATAAAAACATATAGTTAAAACTTTTTAAAAAAGTGTCGTTAAAATTTATGTAGTAGCATAACGTTTTCGATCTAAGCAGATCATCCTCAGAGCCTTATGTAGTTAAAGCTAACAATAAAGTTGTGACTGTGACATCCATATATGGGTTTACATCATTCCAAATTTTAATTATGTTGTGACTCTAGGTCGATGACATTGGATAAAATTTATTACTTTAGGGACTACATGTCTCCTTGCTTGATTTTTAACATTTGGTACTTGTCAGTTAAAATGACACAGACCAACTGGCTGAGGTGACAGGAATACAATTTAAGAAGACAGCTGAATATTACTAGGAATAGGTGTGTTCCGAAACTAATGTAATTTTTTAATTATAAAAATTATAAAATTTATTTTGTTGTAATAATACCTAATATCTTATTAATGATCCTGTAGTTAAAATTAAATTTGTTTATATGATAAAATTTATTGTCTTAAATCTGTAAATCTCTATTATTGAAAAAGAAATAAGTTATTAAATTAGTGAAATTAATTTTATGACATCATAAGTGGTATGAAAAATGATAAAAGTAGAAAATGAAAGGAAGTGATGTAGTACTATTCACATAATAGTGTAGAAAGGGTATAAAAAATTAGTATATACTAAAAGATTAAGTTGAAATCCAATGAAATGGAAGTAAAAAATTATTTTTTGATTGGGTAATGGTGGTTGCCTAGCAACGGTAAGGAACCTGTTGTGTAATTATCTGGGAGTTTAAAAATTTAATTAGTAAAATGAATAAGCCTATTAAAAAGTTTTATGAGATATGATAACAGAATATGATATTCTAACTATTATTATATTGTATTTTTTGATAGTGTTAATCGGTAATATACGGTCATACAATATAGTATTACTGTATTGCGAAGTATGTTAAAATGAATATAAATGAAGCTGAGAAAGAATGACTGAAAACATTAATATAGGAAAGAGGAAATGTAAAATGTTGGTTGAGTAATATATAACAGCGAGAATAAATTGGATACTATGTTGTTGTGAACTGTATGGACAAAGTTAGATAATTAAGTATGTAAACGGAAAACCAGACAAAATGATGTATGTGAATATTATTAGATAAAGAATGAAATAATAGAGACTATATGTTGAATTAACTGTGAGGGGATTAGATTGACTGCATATCTGAGTTGGTTAAGTAAAATGTGTAGTATGGTGGTAATGGGGTCCACAGACTGAAAGTGACCGCCCTGCCAATTTGGAAAAGTTGTAGGAAAAATAATAAATTATATGTCTACCTTCAGATTCTCATGTCGATTCGACTTTGTGCACTCCATATATTTTGTTTTGTATACTGTATACAAATACAGAAAGCGATGAACAACATCTCTAGAAGAAAGGACGAAGAAACAGAATGTAAAGGCAAAGCATTCTTGCCCTATATAGCGGGGGTAACTGACAGAATTGGGCGAATACTTAATAAAGCCAACGTAAAGACCATTTTCAAGCCTACAAAGAAAATCAAGGACTGTTTAAGATCGGTGAAAGACAAACGCGACCCATTAGCAACGGCCGAAGTATACCGAATACCATGTAAATACATGTGGAATGGTATATGTGGGAACCACAAAAAAAACTCACAAACACACGGATAAATGAACATAAAAGCCATTGTCGTTTAGGACATATCGACAAATCTGCCGTTGCCGAACACGCTTTGGGAAGCGGAGAACATCGAATACTGTTTGAAGAAACACAGATGCTGGACAAAACTTCACAGTATTACCCACATAGAAGAAGGACTGAAAATTAACAAGACATGTATACCAATATTAAAAAGCACAAACACCCTTCCCACCAAACACGAAGAAAGACGACTACAAAAATGACGACACGCCCCCTTAAGGCAAAACCAATGGAAGGGAGGCGAGTGGTAAATTTAAATATTGCCACCGTAGTACAACGCGGCGTCAATTTCAGGTTACAAGCGAAGCAGTAACATCTCCAGAACATGCCAACCCCTAGTGTTGGCGAAACAGCCCGAACAAACAGTGTAACAAGTAAGTACAAACTTGTATTTAATTGATAAGTTAATTTGTTTGAGTTTGTTGATGTGATTTTTCTTTTGATTTGTTCTAAAGATCATTCCATGTCAAGTGGTCCAAAGGTGGATGCTCGACTATTTTTAATATTTTTTATTTTTCTACCAATTAAAATTCAGTTTAAATAGTATGTGTATTTATTGTAAAATTTGGTAAAAATACATTAATTTTTATTTTATTAGACAGTTTATTTGAATTTTAATTACTCTACTGCAAACACTCAAATTTATGATTTTTTGCCATTTTCTCAGGCCTGTAACTCCTATGTGCCTTGAGTCTACAACTTCAAATTTTTACCCCTTATTCTACTCATTAGGAACATTCAGACAAATTTCAAATTTTTATTTGCTTGCCCATCAGAGATATAAGGGCTCAAACTTTGAAATTTTTCTAAAAATTACATTTTTGAGATTTTTTTTTAAAATTGACTTAAGTCTCAAAGCTCAAACTTTTTTCATTTAAAGTATGTATGTATGTCTTTTCCAGAAAAAAATAACAAACCATTATCAGCTTGCCTTATGTTGTTAAAAAAATGCTGAAAACAGAATTTTATCAGTTTACCTTTTCAAACTTTAAGGTTAATTTAAGGCATTAAGGGTAGTTTTTAATTAAATAATGCTAGAGACCATTTTTTAGAGCATACTTTTCCAAACAGTTTGGTTTTTGATTTATTGTTTTAGGACAAACCTAAGTGAAAATATTGGCTAAAGAGTGAAGCCATGTTTTCCGTGAAAATTACTGACACGATGAAACAAAAATGGCAGCCGTCGGCAAAATAAATTTTTTTAAAATTAAATTTAATGCAGTTTTGTATACTCTATAAACTGAAGTTTAATTGGTAGAAAAATAACAAATATTAAAAATAGTCAAGCAACCAACTTACTTTATATTGGACCACTTCGTATGGATTGACCCCTAATCAGTGGTGTTCTTATTGCAAATAGTAAGTAAAAATGGGCGATTTAATACCGACTGATATTGCTAGGGCCGTAACAATGGTCACAGGGAAGTTACTGGAATATTTGGTAAATCACCATTAACCATCCATCATTGTGTAAGTCGTTGAAGACAAACCGGGGAGTATATAAGAAGAAGGGGACAAGGTAGAAAACGTTTAACCACGGTTGTAGATGATCGATTTATACTGTTGCAAACATTATGTAGTAGAAGTCAAACGGCAGTTCAAACCAAAAACCTGTTGCAAAATGTTCGTGGAACTACCATAAGTGAGTGCACAGTAAGAAGGAGACTTAAAGAAGCCGGTCTCAAGTCATATGTGCCAATAAAAGCTCCCAGACTCCAGAGACACTATTGTTTAGCACGACTACAATTTGGTAGAGTACATCAAAATTGGAATAATAACCACTGGAGTCAAATTCTCTTTACGCACAAGAGCCGTTTCTGTGTAAATTACATTGACGGTAGAGAAATATTGTATTGACGCTGAGGAGAATGCCCCTTTCAATTTTACTACGACCATACCTGGTGGAGGTTCAATTGTGGTGTGGGGCGGTATATGTTTGGGAGCAAGAACAGAGTTAGTGGTGATTGATGATGGAGCATTAACAGCAGAGAGGTATATCCAAGATATTCTTCAAGACCATGTGGTACCTTTTGCACCATATATATTGGCGAAAATTTTATTTTAATGCAGGATAATGCGCACCCACTCGTCACAGGCTATGTAAAAGATTTCTTATTACAAGTGGGTATAACAACAATGAATTGGCCAGCTTGTTCCCCAGACCTGAACCTGAAGATAGAGCATGTGTGGGACATGCTAGGCAGAAGACTTAGGGCACAGGTTCCTGCTTTTCAAAACAGAAAGGAAGTCAGAATTGCTTTGATTGAGTAATGGGAGAGACTGCCTCAACAACTGATCAATAGCGCTATCAGAAGTATGAGAAGACAAATAACTGCAGTTGTAAGGGCTCATGGGAGAAACACACGCTGTTAAGGCCAAAAAAATGCATAAAAAACCAATTATAGTTCAAACTGTACAATAAAGTTAATGTGTTTAAAATCTGTATTTTATTTGAGTCTGACATCATTGTGATTTATTTCTTCTTAAACAGGTTTCATATTGTACTACCATTGTAATATAAATTCAACATACTTCACCAACATTTGTATTATGATATTATCTAAACAATATATAGACTACACAGAAAATACTCAGATTTTATGGTTTTTCCTTTAAATATGCTAGTGAAACTAAGCAGAAAATGAGCATTTATTGATGAAAAACATGGCTAGTTGTTAAAGTACCTAACTTTTTTATTATCCAACACAAACAAATGAATCAAAAAAGAAATTTATAAAAAAGCTTGAGGCTATAATTGAGTTTTAATTTCAATATTTTATATATACTAGAATATTCCACAGGGTGTTCCGAACTTTAAGGAAAAACACAGTATGATTGTTACACTCAAATCGGACAACAGGTTTAGGAAATTAGAGACATCTAACATGACCCATTGTTAAGATGTTCCGTTAATTTTGCCGGTGAGTGTATTTCCGAAATATTAAAAGATAGGTATAGGACATCATACATAAGATACAAAATCCAAAAATTGAATAATACAGTAGACTTCCTCTATAAAGAGAACTGAAATGGCAGACTAATTACCTCATTATAAGCCGATCTCATTATATCAAACAACAATAATACTGTGCATACATATGAGTATATGTAGTTTTCTAAAACATTAACTCCCTATGTGAATGTTTTTATGTGAACGTAAATCAACATGAATGTGTTATTCATGTTGATTTATATATAATTGGCAAAAACTTGTCTCTTTATATATAATTGGCACAATAATTAATAAAAATGTTGCTACAGGCTAAATGTAGTGGTGAATATTGCTACATTTAAGTGACTTTACATTTTTATGGAGTAATAATATTCCTTTTTTTTTGGCTATGTTGAATACTAGTTTTAGTACACTTTCTTTAAAAAATTAAACATACATTTTTAACCAAATTTTCATTAAAAATGTGACATACCATTCAGTGAAACTTGCTAGTGGCTAAACAAATGGCATCACTTTTAGTGAAGTCATTTCACAGCCTTTTCTAGTTGATTGGCCTCTGGCTGCATTAGCTAAATCATGCAAGACATGGTGCTAATAAAAAAGGCATTCAGGTATCACATGTCAGAATATCTTTTCAAGCCATAACAATGAAAAGGCCTTCACCAATGTAACAAAAATTATACTGAAATCAAAGAATATAGACGCTTATCTATATTCTTTGCTGAAATGATGGCATCTCCTGAGGTAAAATATTCCAGAAGCAAACAAAGCATCTGTTAAGATTTTTGTGAGGGCTTTTTTAAAGAAACAACATTACAGATTAGAATCAGAATAAGGTCATGGAATCTTGGAAGTATTACAGGTAAGAGTATAGAGTTGGTAGATGTATTGAAATGAAGGAAATTACAATTTTCTTGCATTCAAGAGATAAGGTGGAACATATAACCCATATCGGTATTACTCAAGTAAGAAACTTACGCACAAATGAAATTAGGGAAGCCGACCCGGCATACGAATAAAGGCAAAGAGATTGGTTTAATTTTTAAAACTTGATTTGCTTACCTTTTTCAGTTCCTTCTGCAACTTTTAAACTGGAATCAATTTCCACATTATTAGCAAACACTACCTGATAATCTGCTTCATTTGCACCAATGACTTCAAAAGGCACATTTTCCTCAGATCCATTATTAAACAAATCAGCAATATCGACTGTCTCTGGTTTATCCTCATACAGGTCTAGTTCGCATTTTATTTCAGGTAAATGTTCAAATTCCATTTTGTTAGTATTTAGTGCGTTTAACATAAACAAAAAAATGGAAGTAATGAATCCAAAAAATATTGAGAATCTCTTACATATCTCTGGAATATACACAACACAACACAGACGTGACACAGACACGAGACAGTCGACGAGTCGGTTAGAGAAAGTCCAGTTCAGTACAGGGTTGCCAATGTTATTAAATTACAGAATATTTAAATATGTCAGTATTTATTATTAGCATTTATAATGAAGGAAATCATACATTTTCTTAGATGCTTCTTTCTAATACATATTTATTATGGTTTAATGTTTTGAGTTATAAAACACTTCAAATAATTAAAAACATTTGAATTATAGGACACAAAAATAAGTTGCCGTAGTAAAGTTGGTTGCATATTAAATTGTTTTGTTGAGTGCATCATTCATTTGTTTTTGCTTTCTTCAGTGAAAACGCTAGAATTTTTGTTTTTAGAGGCTTTTACAGCCAATAGTCGCTTAATCCTGCTTCATTTCTGAATTTTTTATCTTCGGGACTTTTTTCTTCTTGTTTTTTGTTTGTTAATGTCTCCCATTTTTCTTCAGAGAGAGTTTATAACAACTGATTGTTCGTTAATGTATTGAAATGTTTGTGGGTTTTGATATACTAGGTTTGGGAGGAAAGACAAAGGATTTGGTTGCGATAAATATCAGTCACATTTACACTATAATACTATAAATATCACATTTTTTCTAATCTTCTTTTCATATTTTCCTGACTCTTCGATACAATGACACTTACTGCAAGATTCCAATCTTCTACATAGCTAAATTTTCATAATGTTATGTCTGGCATGTCTGAAATGAATCAGTTAAAAAGGAGTGGGGCAAAAATTGGTCCCTATGGTGGCCCGTTCTTTAGTTTCCTTGAGAAGCAGATATTGAATCCCATGACCACAATACATACCCTTGGGTATGTATTGTGCCTACGACGACGTGTAACATCCTATCATAAAGTGTATTGTCTATTAGTCGAACTGTAAGTTTGCATGAGATTGTACCAAGGTCGGACTGGCTAAAAAGCGCCAACCTTAACCCTAAGGGTGGCCGCACACAGAAAGAGCAAAACTGTCAAAAACGTTTTTGTTCCACAAGAAAGATTTTGTTTTCAAGAGAAACAAAATATTTTCACACACCATACTGCAATCAGTTTTATTAAAGATGTTGACAGATAACAACGAAATTGCACTAGTTTTCTGACAGTTGTTAGAAAACTAGAAAACATCAAACAGACTGGCTGAAACTAAATGAGCTTAAACATGCTTTAGACACACGACTAATCAGTGTGCGTCAGCTCATTTCATTTTTTCATTTATAAGGAAACATCAGCATCAGACTTGTTTACTCAAAAACGTTTTTGACTAAAACAGTTTTGCTCTTTTTGTGTGCGGCCACCCTAAATGAAAGGCGTTAGACCCCCTCTTTTAACACGTCGCATGCTTAAAACCTAACGATATGCTACTGATAGGTGCTGAGAGTACTTTTTGTGTAAATCTTTATAACTATAATTGATTTCTTGTTGACAAAATACATTTATAAAGTTTTTGCTAATTTAAATAATTTTATGAATTAGTTTTTGTAATTGGAGAAAGCCGACAGAGAAAGGTTTCAGGAAATTGTAAACATGATGACGGCCAACGTCTGAATACGGACACGGCACCCAAAGAAGAATTGGAGAAAAGATTTTCATTTATGATTACCGTGGCTTCTATTTGTTTTTTATTTTTATAGTGTTGGCGCAAAACAGAATTATTGTGAGTCCACCTTTAGAAGCCTTACTTGCAGTGATCATTTCTTCTCTTAGGGTATGTTATGTTAAATAATGCTTTCGTCGAAATAAAAATAATCCTGACTCATTTCGGAAAAATGATTGTGAGTCCATCTTTAGAAGTCTTACTTGCAGTGATCATTTCTTCTCTTAGGGTATGTTATGTTAAATAATGCTTTTGTCGAAATAAAAATAATCACGACTTATTTCGGGAAAATGAAGAACTTTCTCAAGCCTAGAAGAACTAGAAGCCTTCATATCAAGGCTTAGTTCACTTGAAATTTATACTGCTTTCTTTTGAATAATTTTATCAGAAACAATATTTTTTAACCCCGATTTACGAAGGAAATCAAAAATATTTTGATTTAATACAGCACCCGAGAAGAAATTACCGAAACAAATTGGAAATTGAAGAAGGGTTCTAAAAGGAGAAAAAGAAATAATAAGGACATAGAAAGAGTACTTCTCATTATTATATCAAATGTTCCGTTATACTCTTGTACTCCCTGGATACTCAAATAAAAAAAAATGAGAGTAGTTGTTAAACTTTTTTACAGAAGAATCTAGCCGTTCAAAACATTTTAGAAAATCGGAAATAGAAAATCAGTGTGATTTTTGGTCAATAGAACAACTTTCCTGTTTTTTTTATTCTTTAGTGTGCTCAAAGGCTCCATAAGAAATACTTTGGAAAGTAGGAGTATTTTACTTTATCTGAAAATGGTGACGAGGACGCGTTGCTCACAATCGGAGATGTGGGCGTGGTTCTTTGGATCATTCTTACTAGCACATAAACAAAAGAAAAATTAGGAGATGATAGCTAATAGAGCTAAATCAAAAATATGTGATAAATAATACAAAGAAAATTGGATGTGGTACTCTGAGAATGACTTAGAGGGGAAGTTTTATCGTCTAAGCGCGGAGAGATGGTTTTTAAAAAAATCCACAAGGAAAAATTCCTGTAGCTGGCTGTATACCACGTATCACAAAAAAGAGGTTAGTCTTTGTAAATGGGTATATTTATTTAAAAAAACCCTTAAAAGGGCTACATCAATAAAACAAACGTTTTCGGACCACACAGTCCGTCATCAGGTTTTAAAATCGAAAAATGCCTAAAAATAAGTATAAACCATTTAGTTAAAACAAACGAGATTATGAAATTTTGACTATGGTTGAAAAGCAAAAGATGGTTATACTTACTAGGTCACAATGCCTGAGCCACCAAAATAAGACTTAACCAATACAAAAGATCCCATCAACTACATGGATCGTAATGGTGTTTATAAATGACAGTGCTCTGATTGTGATGCTACATATATAGGTAGAACCTGTAGATCACTAACTTCCCGTTCCTTAGAACACACTAAAAAAGAGAACACTTCCACCTTCTCTCAACATCTTGCACAACATAAACATACCCTCAACATCCCAGAAGATGTCTCTTTGTTACATAATATTCCCCAAAAAAAATTTTCTAAAATTAGATATATATGAAGACTTGGAAATAGTCAAAGAAAAACAAAATAGCCCCAATTGCGTTAATCGCCATGTATCTTTCAACCGTGACTTTCAACCTTTACATCGACAACTTTTTTCATAGTTCACACTTCACAATACTGCCCTACTTTCTCTGCCTTATTTTCCTATACAAACGTCAACACCTTAATCCTACACAATTTTGTGTTTCTTTAAACACCCATTCTCTACAATATCGCCACACCTTCCTCTCACAAATTTTCGACCCCAATGTTAACTTCAGAACCATCCACATCTATCATATCAACATATCACCATCTTATCCACTCTTCACTTCTACATCACATTCCTGTTAATTATTTTCTCTTTCATTATTTCTTGGTCAATCATATATCAAACATGTATCCAATATTTTTAACTTAGTAATCATTCAAACATTATCTAACAATTTATCAAAATTCATAATCTACCATATTACAAAGAATCCTTATCTACCATTGTCTACCTTCTCTCGGTCAACAACTTAGGAGCACACTTATACAACAAATTTCAGGTTTCTACAAACTGAATTTAATACCACCAAAATAGATTTTGTTCAGGGTGCTAGATACTTTAAGTATAAAGGACCCCTATTATCTCTAATTGTTGATTAACTCCTTTTCTCCTTCAACCGCCCCCCCCTTTTTTCTTCAGTCATTTCCTTTACTTTTATTCTCATTAAGTCTCTGAGGGACCCAGCCTCTTCAATTTTAAATTCAATCACATAGGTTATTACTTTAATTTCTTCAGCCTGTAGAACTGTGCTGTAGATTTCCATCTTACTAAACTTAATTTTATTAATTTTTTCACCATAGGAGCAGTCTTAAATAAAGTCATTCAAATATGAGGTCTGATATTAGCTTCAAATATTTGTTATTTCATTTTTACCTTGTCCTAGATGTGATAAACATAAAAGGATAATTTTCATATATATTAGCTAATCCAACATAAAATACACTTTTAGACCACATTCCATACGACAAAAATCAACATAAGTTGCCTAAGGCACAGGTCATTCTATTAATCATGACTATAAAACCATCATTTATTTCACATCTTTTATACCCTAACTTAATAAATAAAAAAGTTTTTTTTAAATCCCAACACCTAGATTGTTGTTATTTTTAAAATCATCAAAACTTGTTGAATCTTTTGGCTGTAGTAATACTATGTACAACTAATATAGTTTTTGTTACATTGACATTCTGTTTTCGACATCGCTCATAAGTATCTTGTCAATCAGTTCCCAGCTGTTCTCCGCGTGTAGAGGTTCTCTCTCACCGGCTCTGGAACTCGATTCAGCCATGTGTTACCTCTAGTCAAATTTAATTTAATACTGAACATCACAGTTATTTTACAACACAATGTACAATCTTTTATAACTAAATGTAATTTAAAGGGTTTTTACCCTAGTATTTTGGTGGCTCAGGCATTGTGACCTAGTAAGTATAACCATCTTTTGCTTTTCAACCATAGTCAAAATTTCATAATCTCGTTTGTTTTAACTAAATGGTTTATACTTATTTTTAGGCATTTTTCGATTTTAAAACCTGATGATGGACTGTGTGGTCCGAAAACGTTTGTTTTATTGATGTAGCCCTTTTAAGGGTTTTTTAAATAAATATACCCATTTACAAAGACTAACCTCTTTTTTTTAGATGGGTTTTAATTTAATTTAAATTAATTTTAACTGAATTCAATTCGATTTCTTTCATTTTATTCTAATATATTTTGTGTTATTTTATTTCAGATTAATTTATTTTATTAAGAAATACGCATGGGACTGCATATATTATTCCACGTAGTGTGTGGTCCCACGA